CAGTTTACCAGCACACCATGGCTCCAGACCACCTCTTCCCCAACTACATTTTCATCCCTCCGGGCATCAGGGTCATAGGAAAATAGCAACCCATGTTGGTAAAATCAGACTAACTGCTCCCACCAGCAAAAAAGGGGGAAAAAAACAGTTTTACTTTGGTCAGTACCCTCACTCCCAGCTTTCCTGTGTCCTCGGCACATCAGACTTGGCAGCCACAAAAACTATACTGAAGTCCAGAACAGCCTACCTCCCCACCACAAGGATTCTAACCACATGCTTAGCCCCATCACTCTGCAAATCCTGCCTTCCTGCATGTGGCTGCCTCAAACCTAAAGGATTGCTCACCTCTGGGATTCTTTGGTCATAACCTCAAAAGAAAAAAACAGTAACACACAAAAGGGACAAAATGACCACCACTGCAACAGGACCTTGCAAGTCTCAATTTTAAAGGCCCAGTTAAAGAAACTGCTGACCCTTTGGATATAATTCACTAAGACTTCTCACATTTTTATGCATCCTGTAAGCACCGGCACCAACTGCCAGGTTCCAGACTATCTTTACAAGGATATTTGTACAGTGAACAGTCTTGCATGATAGTGTCTATCTCTGGAGCAGGCTTACTGCCCATTATAAACAAAAAGGGCCCCCTGAGCATGGGGTTCCTCTTGTAACTCAGCCCATTACATGTACAGATATCATGTAGCCCTCTTCACGGCGCCCTGGAGGAACTGGGGCTCAGGAACCAGTGCAAGTGCTGATGATCTGGCCACTGCTACTGCTGTGAGGAATAAACTGTCTTTTGTCTCTGATCTATGAGTCTCATCACTTCTGCCAGGATCCATGAACCCATGGCATGATAACTTCATAGCTTGAAAGTAGGGTAAAATCTCAGACTCTTCTCAGGTTTGATACCCATATGTTGCTTAGAGCTCCACCAGCCTGGGCAACATAGTGAGACCTCATCTCTACAAAAAAATTAGCCAGGTGTGGTAGCACAAACCTGTAGTACCAGCTACTCAGGAGGCTGAGGCAGAAAGGATTGCTTGAGCCCAGGAGCTGGAGGCTGTGGTAAGCCATGATCGTGCCACTGCACTCCAGCCTAGGCAACAGAATGAAACCCTAACTCAAAAAAAAAAAAGAAGGATCTAGAGAAGACAAAATCCAGGTAGCAAAAAACACCATTTGCTTACTCCACACACACAAAAAGACCCAATAAAATCATGTTGGAGAGCTCTTTAATAATCTACAAATTGATGCAGTTTTATTATCACAATACTTTGAATAAGTTTATAGTAACAGTAACATTCTTGAATAATTCTATAGTAAAAGAAGAGACACAGAGGAAAATAATTTCCCTGTACAGTGACATTTTCATACACTATATAGAGATTTCCCACATCTGTCCAGTTTTGGCTCAGAATAAGGGATAGCTAATATATTTTACTGATTTTTTTGTCTGTTACTTTAAAAAGTTGCTTCAAATAGTAACTGGGAAATTAGGACTCATTCTTGGCACAAAGGGGAGTACAAAAAAATTTGGTTTCCTGGTGGAGTTTTAAAAAGCAACAATAGTTTGGGGTCAAGTCTCACACACTTTCTTTGCAAGGATACAGCAGCCTCTGGCTCTCACACACATGGGAAACGGCACACAAAAACAGCCTTTAAAGGACTGCAATGGAGTATACATTCCAAATTATTCCCTCAAGTGCTAACATTTGCTTTTCCTTTTTGTGTGACTCAAGCCCATGGAAACAAGGCGATGACGGTGCCTGAGGGTGATCAGAACTCCTTGATTATTCCACAGCCACTCAGGACTCACTAGTGGACCCTCAGAGGGCTCAGCTGAACGAAGTCTTCACTTAAGCACCAATCACACAGAAGCAGGATGTCCGGTCCTGCTGCCAGATGCAAGCAACAGCCTGGTCAGGACTAAAGGCCTTTTTGTGGTGAGAGATGAACAAATCACTCTTTACCAAACAATAGATGGGGGAACATCCATGGCAGAAAGGGAGGGGCAAGAGAGAGAAAAATGAATTGTCATATAGCAGATCAAACTGGTATTGGCTTTTTTCAGACCACTCAGGCAGTTTTGGAATGTCCCAGTTAGGGGATAGAAAAAAAAGACAAAACGAGATGGAGAGGAAGAGCAGGGACAACCTAGAGGGCAAAATGAGGCAAGGGAGAAGGACAGAGTCTGGCTTTGGGGTCTGGACTCAGGCCATAGCCATCCTTGTTTTATCTAAGGTTCAAGAATTGTCCAGAAAACTCAGGAAGGACTATCTGCTCTAACTTTGATAAAACAAACTTATTCATGGCCAGCCTACCAGGTCCTTGTGTTTTCTTTCTAGGTATCCATAACTACAACCCCATTACAGTTCTATTTGGCTAATAATTTATAGAATATAGGCCAGGCTCAGTGGCTCAGCCTGTAATCCCGCGCTATGGGAGGCCGAGGTGAGTGAATTGCCTGAGCCCACAGGTTCGAGACCCACCTGGGCAACTTGACAAGACCTCATCTCTACAATAAATCAAAAAATTAGCCGGGTGTGGTAATGCGTGCCTGTAGTTCCAGCTACTTGGAAGGTTGAGGTGGAAGGATCGCCAGAGCCCAGCAAGTCGAGGATGCGGTGGCCGGAAGCGTGCCACTGCACTCCAGTCTGGGTGACAGAGTGAGACTCCAACTCAAAAAAAAAAAAAAAAATTATAGAATATTTAAAATGCCAGACAGGTGAACATCTCATGGCTTTTGTGCAAGGGCCTGAGGCATAGAGAAACCAAACTGATTAGAGGTTTCTACCTGGTGCCTTCTCCAGGGAAACTGACCATCAGAGAAGTCTGCTGCTAGGATTTCTAGGACATCTGGACATCTCTTTATTGTGCATTTCAACAATAGAAAATGCTGTATTTGCAAACATATTGAATCACCTCAATAAAGCCACTTTAAAATTTTCACTTAATCACCGATTTTTTTAAATTACCCAATTTGCAAACAAATCCCTATTACTTCTGACAGTGGTTCCAAAGCAATTTTCTTCACTCAGCTTGACTTGAAAGTGGAGCAAAGGTGTCAGCAAGGCCAAGCCTCCTCAGTTGGCAAAGACAGCTTAAGACACTGGTTGGCTTCATTTACCCACCCCTCAGCCTGGCCAACGCTGAGCTGGATGACCTGATGGGAAAAGAGGGACCCAACCTTAGGGTTCACTTCCCAGCCCCAACATCCGCAGGTTTTCAGAAGGCTCAGTCTATGAAAAGGAACCAAGATGCATGGTCCAGCTGAAGTGATATCTGGCCAAAGGACTCCAAGAGAAATGAATTTCATAAAAATGGAAAAGACAACCCACAGCACTGGTTCTGTGCTTCTTATAGGCAATGGCTACCAAGTGAGTAGAAGCAGGGGCTAGAAGTGGAGGTGGGCCTAGTGAAAAGCCCCAGTTCACACATGCCAGGGGCCATGCTGACCTAGCGCCCAGTCCCCTTGCTTTGGGTGCAGGCTGAGGAGAAGCCCCCAGCCTGGCCGGCAGTGGTGAGGCAGCCCCAACTGTCCCTCAGTAAGGCCAGGGGGCCCTCCCCACAGCCTAAGAGGGGAGGCAAATGGTAGCCAGTTTTTCTTTTTGCAGCATCTTCTAATTGAAATACCAAAGGGTATTGACTTCCAGCCTCAGAAGTGTGACTCACAGGGCCAATTTTGCCTCTTCAATGCAGAGGTGGTCTTGAAATCGTGCCAGCGTGTGGCTTTTCTTTAGCCCCTGCCACACTGGGGAGCCAGGTTGCTGACATGCATAAGGCAATAGTGTTGGAATTCAATCAGATCTATTGCCAGCTGACCTTTAGTTAAGATCACACTGCCCTGACCAGCTGGAATCTGGACTGTGTGTCCCCAGTGACCTCTAACATACCAAAGAAGGTACCTGAGTCCAGTGTGACAACCAAATTCCTCCTTGATCTGTGATTTGGTGAAGCTCTGTGAGGTATTTTTTGTGTGTGGAAGACTCAAAGTGGAAGGAAACAAACAAAAACAAAAACAGACTAAAGCAGTGTACCTTATACTGGTTTCTTCAAACATAATGCCTGTGCCAAGAATTGGGCAAGAGAGAAACCTATGAAATGAATATAATAACTTATCCTGAGGCACTCCCTCCCATGCTGGCTTAAGAGATCTCACACACAAAACCTCTCCTTGTTTATAAGGAGCTAATTCTCAATATGTGGGCAGGACTTCCAAAAAGCCCATCGTTAAATAAGCTAAAACAAGTACAAGAGATGTCCTCACTTGGGTTCCTGAGACTTGTCTTACAGGAGCAGCTCCAAAGTCGCAGACTCTTGAGAGCTCCAGAGGAAAATAGCACAAACTGGCAGGTAAAAAAAAAAAACCTGGTGCCTGCACCAGGTTCTTCTCCCAAAGCATGCTTTACTTAAACAGGACAAATCTCTGTTGGGGCCCAACTGCCATCAAGGGAGTGAGGATTTGCAGGGGCACCCAGAATTCTGTCAGTGTACAAGGAGGAAGTCCTGCCTCACTCATTTCTAATCTCAGCTCTGGTTTTCTAAAGCAAATTCTTTTTAGTATACAAAGCACTATGTTAGAGCTTCCTTCTTGACATAATGCAATTAAAATTTCAGCCATTCTGCAGAAGAACTGAAGCTCTATAGCAAAAAGAAGCTTTAAATCATGCCAGGGTATATGTGTGGCAGGGGTCCAGGTATTTTCCTAAAGGAGGGGAAAGGATTGACGGTATTGGAGCTGAGCTGTCTCTTCAGAGGATACTGTGAAACACAATCAATGCAAACCTCTCCCTCTGAAGCGTGAAATGTTCCCAGAGGGGACAGGAAGGTTTGTTTAGTTGCACTGATGCGACCTCGTGTCATATGCCAGGTACATACTGGAGTGTCTTCCTGAGTCACCTGAGGAAGGTGTGCTAACTGAGAAAAGCACTTGGAAAATACACATACCAGGCAGGTAGGGTTCACCTCCCCGATTAAAGGAAAGGCACCCCCACAAGCCTCTTCCTCAACCCCACTTCCACCCCAGTGACCACGAGAAGTAATCGGTATGTCCCTGGCTCCTCATCCTCTGCTATGAGGTCTGCCAGTGGCTCTGGCTAGAAATGGTGCTGGTGAAGGGCTGCAGATGAGGGGCCTTTCTCCAGTCTCTTGACATGGCAGGAGTGACAGAACAGGTGGTCCTCCAATGGATAGCAGCGGTGACCATCTTCATCGTTGAGCTCCAGACCACAGTCCTGTGGGGAGGCAAACATGTTCAGTAGAGGCAAAACAAGACAGACTGCAAGACTGACATGAAGGCCACAGCCCTCAACCAGCAGAGGGTGCTATGCGTTTCCTGCACTGGCGTTTCCTACTTGAGACAGGAAATGCCAGTGCAGAAACACACAGCTCCTGCCCATTTTCTACATCAGCTCTGGAGAGCAGACAGACCAGAATCGTACCGACCATCTCGTGCCTCAGTCAGTGCGGGATGCTTTTCTCTTGGTCTGCTGAGATGGGCTCTGGGGGTTGGGTAGGGAAGGGCCTACCTCACAGTGGTAACACTCCACATGGTAGTCTCTGTCCATAGACACGACACGGATAGTCTCATCTGAGCCCTGCAACCAAAGAAAAGCAAGAACACACAGAAGAGGCCAGTTAGAGGCCCAGTGGGGTGGGGTGGGGAGGAAAGGAAGTTCCAGGGTAACAAGGAGGAGGCCTTGACAGAACAATATAAATCAGTAGGTTAATACTGACACTTGTGGGGGAAAAAGATTCAGCTGATGAGAGGGGCAGTGGGAAGGATAGTAGTCCCACCTTCTAGAATGTCAGAGTCAACACTGGAAAGAAGGACCTATATGGATATACATTTATTTGTTTATTTGTTTTTGGAGACGGGGCCCCACTTAGTTACCCAGGCTGGAGTGCTGTGGCACGATTATAGCTCACTACAGCCTCAAACTCCTGAGTTTACACAATCCTCCACCTCAGCCTCCTAAGTAGCTGGGCCTACAGACATGCGCCACTGCACCTGGCTAATTTTTTGTAGAAACAGGGTCTTGATATGTTGCCCAGGCTGGTCTCAAACTCCTGGCCCAAGTGATCCTCCTGCCTTAGCCTCTCAAAATGCTGGGGTAACAGGTAAAAACGTCAGGCCTGACATTTTTTTTAATGAAAAAAAAAGACAAGCTTTTCTCCTCATCTGCTAATCTAAGAGTTGTTATCAAGTAAAGGAGTTTGACCTGATTAGGTCAAACTTGTACCACTGGTCAAACTTGTACCAGTGTCCAGGTACAAGAAGGGCACTGGACTGGGGAAATGGGGCACTGACAATGGGTGAGGGCATTATTTATTTCAGGGTTGAGTTTTTAGAAGGTTATCTTAAAAGATATAAGGACATGACACTGAGTTTGTAAATGTCCTCAGGGAGCTATTCAAGTCCTAGGAGAGCATGTTTGAAAAAGCATCTTACCTCAGGTGGAAGGATGGGAAGCCCACAGGCTGCACACTTGGGGGCCAACACCCTGGGAGGGAGGAGAAACAAAGCAACAGTAAAATGCACATTTGTGTTGTTTTGGAAAACAAGGCCAGATTAAAACTTGTACCTGGAGCCTGCCTTACCAAACACCTCTGGCACGTGGCTCTCCCCCAGGTGCAGAGTGGAGCCAGGCTCACTGTGGGATATGTTTTAGTATTGCTTCAGGATTGTTTCCCAGCTGCAATGAGGACATTGGCTGCCTCTCACTCTACTAACAACAGCATTAACTTGTCGATTTCAACTCTCATGATGCCCAGGCCCAGGCAAAGCTAGAGTGTATTGGTGGCTTGTCAAGTTAGGTAATGCTGCAGCCACAGGGCTTGGAAAAGCCGATTATAGTATAGGTGTTTTATTTTTCCACTAAACATGATTGTTTAACCAGTTCCTGTCTACACATGGCATGAGTTGACCTCCAAAGGTCCCCCTGCTGCATCCCTTAAAACCATTAATTCTTTGCTGGACTGTGGACTAATGGTACAAGCAACTAGCAAACACAGTTCAGGAGACTTCCACCATTCACTCTGCTGAGACCAGCACAGCCCACATGTGCGGGTCCTGTCTGCTCCTGTCCCCTCTTACTTGTGGTAATCTCGGACACAGTAGATCTTGTTCTCTGAATCTACAGTGAAGGGCACTCCATCCAAACACTCGTTGCAGATGACACAGCGGAAACAACCGGGGTGGTAGGACTTCCCCAGGGCCTGCAAAATCTGGAGAAGAGGCCATGGCTCAGCAGGGATTATAGGCGAGGAAGAGATAATGGAATGGGAGAGAAAGACATCAGGCAAAGGGGTCATAAGAGTAGTCTCACAACACGAAGCACACTCATCCCTGAGGGAAGGCCTAGTCTATTCAGATCTATAAACAGGAAGCGATCAAACAGGAGTCCTTCTGTAATCTCTCACAGGGTCACTGAGCTGGGAGGGAATGAAGAAGGTCCTCTCCCACCCCTCATCCCTCGTCCAGAGCAGGAAGCTCATGTATAAGATGCTAGGGCAGGGCCCGGCCAATCCCAGGGCCAAAGCCCACCACAGAGAAGCAAGAAATGACGCAAAGCAGGGCCACAAAAGATTCCATCCCAGATTTGGGAGGCAGCAAGTACACAGAAAAATTAAATAAAATTCCTTGGCAGAACTAAGGAAAAAACAAAACACCAAAACAGCAACAAAACAACCCTCCTAACTTCTGCCTCTTGGGTGGCCTCCTGTGCAGTTTTCATCCTGGAACATGATGATCTAGAAGCCCTGACCCAACCTGAGGACCTCAAATTCACGTGTAACAAGCAAAGCCTCTTCCTTACTGTTTTTAAACACAATGAAGGGAAAGTCTCACAAACTTTCCTCTCAGTGTCATTTGATTTGGATCTGGATGTGATACCTGGAAGAGCCAAAACCACCTACCTCCTTAGTGTTAACTGAATTAACTCACCATGGAACCACCAGCCTCCAAACTTCTTGTTAGGTGAGATAAAATATTGTTGCTATTAAGTCAATGGTTCTCAAAGTGTGGTCCCTGAACCTGCAGCATCAGTATCACCTGGGAACTTGTTAAAAATGTAGGTCGATGCTGGGTGGCCATGAGCATGCCGCTGCACTCCAACCTGGGCAATGGAGTGAAACTCCAACTCAAAAGAGAAAAAAATGCACATTCTGTCAGGTGCAGTGGCTCATGCCTGTAATCCTAGCATTTTGGGAGGCGGAGGTGAGAGAAATGCCTGAGTCCAGGGGTTCGAGACCAGCCTGGGTAACCTGGGGAGACAAAAAATTACCTGGGCATGGTTCCAGATACTTGGAAGGCTGAGGTGGAAGGATCGCCTGAGCCCAGCAGGTTGAGGCCTCAGTGGCCATGAGTGTGCCACTGTACTCCAGACTGAGAGACAGAGTGAGACTCTGACTCAAAAAAAAAAAAAAAAAAACCATGCACATTCTTGGGCCCCATCCCAGACTTCCTGCATCAGAAACTCTGAGAGTGAGGCCCAGCAGTTGGTGTTTTAGAAAAGTGATTCTGATGCATGCTAAAGCTTAAGAATCATTGGTTTAAGTTAAAATGAGTCTGGATTTTTCTCTAATCTGTTCATGCCATTATCTGTGTCATGAAACTTAGCACAAACAACTGAAGTACAGAATCAACATGAATGAGGTCACACCAAGACACCCATCTGCAAAGAACGTGCAGAGCAATCATCAGCATCTGGCAGTGGGGGCCACATAAAAAGCCTTCGAATAGGCTGAAGAAAGGGGATGTGGGATTTAGAGAGCCTTGTCAGGACATAGTGAGGCCTGTGGGAAAAAAGTATTTTGTTCTAGCTCCTTCCCCGGGTAATACTCTCCAGCCAAGGAGGCAAAAGGAGAGTGTTATGCGATTGCAAGCTTTCCTCTGAAGGCTCAGCTTGCCAGCTTCCTCATTCCCTCTTGGTTTTACCACCCTTTGAGGCCTCTCTCAATCTGCAACAAGCTGCCAAAGTAGGAAGAGCAACCGGCTGGGCTTCCAAAGTCCATTTGGCAATCTGAACTTTGGAATGCATCTCCCCCAAGGCCTAGGCTGTCTTGTCAGAAAGAGATCCTTAAATTAATTTAACCCCCATTCTGCCTAAAGTAATGTTGGAAAAAGCTGCCACTTTGCCGCCTTCTTCCTAGCTGCAATACTTTCTTTTATGTGGGAATATGCTCAGTTCCAACCTGTAGGCCGAGAACATAGCCCTCTATGAATAAAGAGACAGAGACAATTTATATAAAGTCAGGCAGTTTGGGTTCTGCTACCAAACCAATAGTGGTATCTGAAGGAATCTTTGTGCATTATTAAAATTCTTGGCAGCAGCTAAGGGTTCTGTCATTAAAACTGGGTGTCACTACCAGACAGACATTCACTGAAAGTTTTTAAGTCCTAGAGAAGACCTGCAATACTGCAGGTTCAATTTTCATCCCATATGGTAGAGATTATCTTTAACAATCAACTCCTTTCCTTCCTATACATACAGGCTGATCCTCACAAGAAAAGACAGAGAACATTTCCCCTCCCTTGAATCAGGACTGGCATTGCAACTTTCTTTAATTTACAGAATAATGAAGAAATAATGCTCTGTCACATCTATGTCAAAGATTTCTTAAGAAGACTGGCAGCTTCTGCCTCCTCTCTCTTGCTGTGAGGAAGTCTGAACTAGACTACTGAATGATTAGAGGCCACAAGGAGACAGGTCTGGAGGGCGAGAGGTCATCTTGGCTATTTCAGTTCAACTGTGCCACCAGCTGAACAAAGTGACTCCAGCCAATGTCACATCAAACAGAAGAATCACCCTGCTGAGCCCTGACCTAAGTCCTAACCCACAATACAATGAGAAATAATAAATCACTATTGTTTTAAACTGTTAAGGTTTGGGGTGGTTTGCCACACAGCAATAAATGTCACATAGTCTGGGGCCCAAAAAAGTCTCAGGACAACCAGAACTAAGAATAGGGTATTAATCATACTCATAAATTTGGACCATACTGACTTCATACGCAATTGGTTTGTCAGAAGGACACTGAAAAAAAGGGAAACTTCTGTGGGGGGAAAAAATCTAAATAATATAGAAGGTACTTGGGAAACCAGGAGTAAGAATGTGTGGTTTCTGCCTAACTCTACCTGAGGGAATAGTTGGAGGCCTTGTTCCCCAGGGAGAAGGACATGACTTTCACAGGGCTGAGCTCTGCTGTGGTCTGTCAAAGCCTAGATGACAGCAGATACTCTTCATGAATAGGGAGGGCTCTGGGTCCCTGTTGTTTCAGAAATGTTCATTCATATGTAACCAGCAGAAATTAGTGTTTATGTCCATCAGAGACATGCACAAGCGTGTTCACAGCAGTTTCATGCATAAATAGCCAAAAGCTAGGAACTACCTAAATTTTCATCAACAGGAGAATGAAGAAATGAACTTTGCTATATCTACACAATGGAATTCTACTTAGCAATCAAATCATTGAACTACCACTGTAGGTCACAACATGGATGAATCTCAAAAACACCCTTCTGAGTAAGAAAAAGAGTTCATAATCATTTATATGCAGTTCCAAAACGAGCAAAATAAATCTGTGGCAATAGAAGTTGGAGTAATGGTTGCCTTTTCAGTGAGAGGAGGCAAGAAGGAACATTCTGGAGTTCAGGAAAAGTCTACATCTTATTCTGGGTGGTGGTTACAAGGGGTACATGTACATGTACACTTAAGATTTGTACCTTTTACTGTATAAAGTGAAAAAAAAAACAATGACATTGATTAGCAATTCTCTTAGCTGGAATGAAATTAATAGGTCAGCTTGGAGAGAGTTAACTCTTTCCAACTAAAGGTATGTTATCTAATCATTTCCTTTGACCAGCATATTAAAGAAATTCCTAAAGGCTGGTTTCCGATGGTAAACAATTTGATCTCTGTATTCATTAACCCCACAACCTAACTCCCTAAGGAAAAGTGTCCCTACTGAAAAGATAAAGATACTGTGGCCCAAGATAACCTCAGCGATCCTATAGCTAAGCAAAGAGTGGACTGTATAAAACTTGGTCCTTGGTCTGCTGTCTCAGAACTAAATGACAGGCCCCAAAAACTCATCTTAGGAATAGCTTGAGCTGGGCAGAACATGGACAGGGAACAATTATGTTCATCTGACTTTATGCATTTGATGCCAAAGAAGCTGAAATTTCTGCAGTGAAAACAGGTTACATTTGACAGCTCTTCGGGGTTGCCGCAAGGATTACAGAGAAGTCAGAGAGAGGCCAGTGTGATCCAAACAGTCCAGAGGAGAAGAGGGGATTATCAGAAACACAACATCGTGCCATCTGGATAGTTAAGGATGCTGATTCCAATAGAAGCCAACAATGTGGGTTCTGTTAGAGCAAATAATCTGCACAGTATAGGAACTTCTTTTAATGAAACCAGCAGTAACCACAAATCAAGACAGGGAAAACTGTTCTCAATTGTTCATTTCTTTTTTTCTCTGAATGCCTCCTCCTCCCAAGATGCTGTTATCTTGCTCAGCTGACTCCACTTACCATATCCATGATCAGATGTCCACAAAGAAAACACCTGTCAGCAGACTGCTGGAAACCAGAGTACTGCAGAGGAAAGAGAAAAGAAAGTTAAACCCAGACGAATCAGCCACTTCCCCACCAGTCAAGAGGTCTGTAAGGAATTCTCAGGAAGATGTGTCACTCTGTGCATAATCTGTCATTACCCCAAGTACAACACGGCTGTGTGCTGAGTCATGGAATATGCTCTGCCACAATAGCCATCGAAAATATGAACATCACTTGCCCTAACAACGACTGTGTCTGCCAGGCTCTATGTAAGAGACCTTACACAGAAATGCTTTCATTTCTATCTCAATGGTTCTCAAGAGGGAGTTCCCTGGCATCCGTTGGACACTTGTAAGAAATGCAGATTCTTGGGTCCCACCCCACACCCACTGAGTTGGAAACTCAGGGGCCCTGGCAACCTGTGTCTTCACGAGCCCTTCAGGGGATTCTGATCCATGCTCAAGTTTAAGACCATCACTCTAATCCTTCAAACAATTCTGCAAGGTATATTTTATGATCCCGAATTCACAAATGGAAGCAAAGGAAAGCTCAGAGAGGGTAAATGACCTTTTCAAGGTAACAAAGCCAATAAGGAGTAAAGACAGAATTGAAAGTCGGTCTGGTTAAAAAGCCAATGCTTTTTATAGTTAGCTTCAGATTAAACTTGATACACATCTACTTTACCTTACTAAACACACTCGCGCGCGCGCGCGCGCACACACACACACACACACACACACACACACACACACACACACACACACACACCCCCAAAGTCTTGAGAGAAATGAGGAGCATTTTTAGAAAACATACTGGACACTATACACTAGAAGCTAATAGAAGCTTAAGTATTACAAACACAATTTAATGGGAAAAAACATAATGAAAGGAAGGTAGGAAAAAAAAGCAAGGGAAACTTTCTGCAACTCTATACCATGTAATGGAGTTTTCTGCTGCCCAGCAGAAAACTCATTCTGGGTAACAGTTCTCTAACTTCATTTGAGATTCAGACTCCAAACCCACACCTTGGGGTTCCCAGAAATCCTGTGGGCTCCTGTGGGCTGACTCCATGCTGGAGTCCAGGCAGGGCACTGACAGACCCAGTCCATCAGTCTTGCATTCCTCCAACACAGACGGTTTTCTCCAGGGGTGAGCATGTAGCTCATTAAGAGCCAATGAGAAGCCAGGCACGGTGGCTCACTCCTATAATCCCAGCACTTTGGGAGGCCGAAGTAAAAGGACTGCCTGAGCCCATGGGTTCAAGACCAGGCTCATTTCTACAATAAATCAAAAAATTAGGCAGGCGTGGTGACACACGCCTGTAGTCCCAGCTACTTGGAAGGCTGAAGTGGAAGAATCACCTGAGCCCAGCAGGTCAAGGCTACAGTGGCCACAAGCATGACACTGCCCTGCAGCCTCGGCGACAGAGTGAGACTCCGACTCAAAAAATAATAAAAATAAAAATAATTTAAAAATAAAAAAGACTCAATGAGACTCCAGCAGACATTTGTGGGGGCTTCTGAAAGAAGGACTGGCACTCTTGGCCCTCAGATTTGAAACTGAGAGAATGTAAACTCGAGTTTTGCCAACATCTGGCTATCAGACAGCACCCGAGACTGAAGCTAGCACTGAGAGAGACAGGGCCAAAAACTGAGGAAAAAAATGACTCTTCAGTCATTTTTCAGAGACATTGCTGGAATAATTTCCTTTTCTACTTAAACCAGTTTGGGTTTGCTTTTCTGTTTCTGGCAAACAAGAGTCATAATGCATCACCTCTTTCAGTGAAAACCATATAGAGTTTTTCTCCCAGGGAAGGCGGGGTGAGGAGGGCTGCATCCATCCACAGAGAAGCCAGCCCTGAGCCCATCTCTCATGTTCCTCATCCCGGAGACCACAGGGTCAGTCCAACAACCATTTACCAAGCACCCACTCTGTGCCTGGCATGTTAGGATCTGCAGATGTGAAGGTAAAGAAGCGTGTTCTTTCCACCCTAATAGCTTATAGTCAGTGGAGGAGAAAGACTCGCAGACACAACGCTCTGCACTAATGGCCTTGCCAGGGTAGGCCTGGGGCATGGTGGAACACAGAGGATGGGCACTCCACTGTGGGAGCAGGAGAGGACAGGAAGGCCGTCGGAGTGATGTGGACAGAGAAAGGGGGCAAGATGCTGCAAGCAGGGGAAACGGCACAAGCGAAGGTATGGAATTATGAGGCTGTGTAGGCAGCTGGAGGGCCGTCAGGGCCCAAACCCAGGAGAGCTTCCCAGCATGCTCTATACCCTGCAGATGCTGGGCCTGAGCCAGGCTGAAGGTGTGAAGGCAAGCAGAGCCCTGGAGGACCTGGTGGCACAAGGCTCGATGCCTGGCTGCATTCTGGGAAAGACAGGGAAGAAGGCAGGGTTGACGATGAACCCAGCATACAGTTCTCAGAGAGCGAGACCAAAGGTAAGGGGATGTTTTCTGCTTCAGACAAGTGGTGTGTGAGGGGCTAGGGGACAGTTCAGAGGATGTGTCCAGTGGGCAGTGAGACGCCAACAACTGGCCTCAGAGGTGTGACAGGGAGCTCAGATCTGGGAGTCTCTGGTACATAGAAGGACTTCCAATCCACAGGAGAGGCTGGATGACCAGGGAAAGCAGATACAATGAGAAGAAAAGAGACCCCAGGTCCTAGTCCAGAGGTTTAAGAGATGGTGAAGGAGGCAGAACTGGGGAAAATGGCGAGAGGACAGGCTGAGTGACCCTATATAATCTCTTCAAATCATGAAGCTGCACAGTCTGTCATCTACCTAAGGAACATGGGCCAACCCCCTGCACTTGTGGAGAGAAAGCCCTCTCTCCAGCCATGCATCCTTCCTACGTGCTGACTTGGATCCCTCCAGGCCCCTGTCCTCTGATTCTGGTCAGCCAGATGGCTGGGGGGCGGTATGGCTTAGGTGACATACTCACCAGGAAGTCTTCCTCACAAAACACTTTGCCGTTGACAAAATAAAAGGCTTTTCCTCTCAGCTTCCGGCCTAAGGAAAAAACACAAAGGCAGGTTAAAAAGAAAAATGTTAGTATCAAAAAAAGAGCAAAAGAATGGCAAAATCTTTAATCAGAAATAAACACACAAAAAATGCCAACTGTCAATAACAGTTTTCCATTACCAAAAAAAAAAAAAAAAGCCATGACCGAGGACATGTGCCCTGGTGAGTGGCCCTCAGTGATGGGCAGGTTGAGACATTTGGGACAGTCATTTTTGACATGGGTCTAGGTGACGCTTGTGACAGCCTGCCAAGGGAGTCCTGTTAACTGGTTATCTATTATTTTCATAACTTTTTTCACCTGAACTACAGGAGACACACATTGTTGGAAGGAAAATGTTTTTTGTATTCTCTTCATCTAAATGGAACAGGTGGGGGTGGGAGCAATCCAAAGCACCCCAACTCCCTAGATGCACCTTAATTTCCATGAGGCTAAGATATTGACAAGAAAAACATACTTTATCGATCTTACTCATCTCTTATGAGGACACACACTGGGCTGCCTGCTCAAGATGAGCAGGGGCATCTTTCGGGCATCCCTGGATTCGCCACTCAGCAGTATCCACAGAGCTGAGAACGTGTCTTGTGCCAGGCTCAAAACACGCTCAACAGACTCCATGGAAGTTTCAGAAACTCAGTGAATTCTCAGCAAAAAGTGAAACCAAGCCCACTGGGGCCAGGGTCCACCAGATGGAAGTGGTATCACCAATGTCACAGACCCACAGAGAAATCCCCTGGACGCTGACTGCCCTTGCCTGGTGACACCCAGAGGCAAAGCGGCCCAAGGGGGATGAAAATGACCCCTAGGCTCAGAGAGGACCCTGAAAGTATCAGGGCAGAGAAAAGGCCAGGGGGAAAAAAGAAAATAAATTTTACTACAAAAACGAAAATCTCCAGGTAGATGAAAGCCTAAGTATGAAAAGTAAAAACTAATATAAGAAGCTGCAGCCTTTTACATTTTCTATTTTATGTTATATTTTATTTATGTTTTTACTATAAAGAAATAAAATCTGGCCGGGCTCGGTGGCTCAGCCTGTAATCCTGCGCTTTGGGAGGCTGAGGTGAGTGGATTGCCTGAGCCCACGGGTTCGAGACCCGCCTGGGCAACTTGGTGAGACCTCATCTCTGCAATAAATCAAAAACTTAGCCAGGTGTGGTAGTGTGCACCTGTAGTTCCAGCTACTTGGAAGGCTGAGGCGGAAGGATCACCGGAGCCCAGCAGGTCGAGGCTGCGGTGGCCGGGAGCGGCCATTGCACTCCAGTCTGGGTGACAGAGTAAGACCCCAACTCAAAAAAAAAAAAAGAAAGAAAGAAAATCTGACTTTGGTATAGAAAAGATTTTCCTAAGTAAGATATAAAGAGCACACCTTATAAACACAAAGACTGATCAACAGACACCCAAAATTTGAACTTCTGTCCAACAACAACAAAAAAATAAGCAAAGTTGAAAAGATTAAACTGTTAAAAAGCCAAGACTACTCAGCAGGTGGCAGAGAGGGGGAGGTAGAGGAGGTGGCAGATGGTGCCCTAGGATGCGGTAGAGGGACCTGAGGCAGAGGAGACAGATGAGGCCGGCCAGCATTCCTGGCCACAGGGAAGCATGGCTGCAGACGTGAACTGTGGTGTTCAAGAGCCAGTAGGCGATGGCTGGGGAAGGAGAGGGAAACTCTTGGTTATCTGTCTACTTAAGCCTCTGTAACCTCACTTACCTGGAAGGACCTGCCCTCCTTCAGGTCTGGTCAGACCCTTCTTTCCTGTGGTATTTGTTGCCACCAGACCTAGTGTTACAACAGTGTTTCCCCCAACCCTCCTGCTGGTTCTTCTAGAACATCTTAACACTGTGTATATGCTGTATTCCTCAAGGATTTAACTGTAATTTCAAGTCAGCTTCATAACTGGGAAGGCTTGGCAATGGTCTTAGGAAGCGCAGTCAATGTTGAGTTGAGGCTAGAAGTGGTGGCTCATGCCTGTAATCCCAGCACTTGCGGAAGCCAAGACAAAAGGATCGCTTGAGCTCAGGAGTGTGAGACCAGCTTAGGTAACATAGTGAGACCCTGTATCTACAAAAAATAGAAAAAGTAGCCGGGTGTGGTGGCGCATGCCTGGAGTCCCAGGTACTTGGCAGACTGAGGCAGAAGGATCACTTCAGTCCAGGAGATCGGGGCTGCCAGGAGCTGTGATGCTGCCACTGACCTCCAGCCTGAGACCCTGACTCAAAAAGAAAAAAAAAAAGAAAGGCTGAGTTGAAGAATAAAGGAAAAACAAGCCATGGGTCAGAAGATGACTACAGCAGTCACAAACAGTGTTAGGATCTAAAATATACAAAGAACACCAACAAATCAGTAAGAAAAAGATATGGGATCCAATGGGGAAAATGAGCCAAGGATAGGAAGGAAAAGTGCATACGAGACCTGTTAAACCCTGGGCAATCAGCAGGATTAATAATAACCTACTATTGCCAGGCGCACTGGCTCATGCCTGTAATCCCTGCACTTTGGGAGGCTGAAGCAAGAGGATTTGAGCCCAGGGGTTCGAGACCAGCCTGGGCAACTTGGCGAGACCACGTCTCTACAAAAAAAAATCAAAAAAATTAGCCAGGCATGGTGGCGTGCGCCTGTAGTTCCAGCTACTTGGAAGGCTGAAGTGGAAGGATTGTGTGAGTCCAGCCGGTCAAGGCTGCGAGGACCATAAGCATGCCACTGCACTCCAGCCTGGACGGATTAAGACTCCAACTCAAAAAATAATAACAATAAGCTGATCTCTATAATATTATAAAAAGATGTTCAATCTCACCAACAAACCGGATATGCAAATTAAAACCACAATGAGATTCTAGATTGGCAAAAATTACTAAGTCTGGTAACAATATGTCTTGGGAGGGTGTCAATTGGGATGATCACTTAGGAACAATTTGCCAAGAACCAGGAGAACTGAAAATCACATAGCCCACAACGCGGCCCTAAGGCTGCTCTTTGAGATCTCCCAAATGTGCCCCAGGAGGCATAGGTACAGATATTTACAGCAACACTGCTTACAGAAAAACTAGAAGCATCTTCAGTGTTCATCAACACAGATGAATTAATAAACAAACTGAGGAAGAAACTGGAGTTATGTTCAGTGAATATTATACTAACAGCAGTCACAATGAAAAGACTAAATCTATCCAGATCATTATTGACTGAACTAAACATGCTGGTGGGCAAATAAGGCAAACTGCCCAAAGACACATGAATATAGATTTATGTTTGTGTGCGCACACATACACACATTCTCGCTCTCTCTCTCTCTCTCTCTCTCTCGTACCATATGACTTTTAACAATAGTTGCATGTGGTAATGGTAGAAAAACTGAGAGAAGGAGCCACACTCAATCCATAATAACAGCTGCCCTAGGGAAGGAAGGGAGAAGTTGGGAAGGGGAACCAAGTGTCTCCAATTTATCTATAATATTTCATTTTCTTTATCAAAAAAAAACAAACAACCAAAATTACAATGTATAAATGTTGTGCATTCATTTTCCAGTAGTTTTTAAAATATACACAAGCTGGGCGTGGTGGCTCACATTTGCAATCCCAACACTTTGGGAGGCAGAGGCGAGAGAATTGCCTGAGTCCAGGGGTTCAAGACCAGCCTGGGCAATTTGGTGAGACCTCATCTCTACAATAAATCAAAAAATTAGCCAGGTGTAGTGGCATGCATCGGTGCTTCCAGCTACTTGGAAGACCAAGGTGGAAGGATCACCTGAATCCAGCAGGTCGAGGCTGCAGTGGCCATGAGCATGCCACTGCCCTACAATCTGGGTGACAGAGTAAGACTCCTACTCAAAAAAATAAAAAACAAAATACACACACACACCTGCCTTGAGGTGAAACACTATAAACCAAAAGACAATGACAAAAAGTGGAGTGAACTGCACCATAAGACAGAAAGGGACTTAAGTCTTAGATGCAAATAACCAACCACCCTCTATAAAAAATGGGCAAAGAAAGTATGAAAGATCAGTAGCTATAAAAGAAAATATTTCACTTTTCTCATGATTAAAAAAGACTGCAAGCCGGGCTCAGTGGCTCAGCCTGTAATCCCGTGCCTTTGGGAAGCCGAGGTGAGTGGACTGCCTGGGCCTGTGGGTTCAAGACCCGCCTGGGCAACTTGCCGAGACCGCATTTCTACAATAAATCAAAAAATTAGCCGGGCGTGGTTGCGCGCGTCTGTAGTTCCGGCTACTTGGAAGGCTGAGCGGAAGGATCGCTGGAGCCCAGCAGGTCGAGGCTGCGGTGGCCAGGAGCGGCCACTGCACTCCAGTCTGGGCGACAGAGTGAGACTCCGACTCAAAAAAAAAAGAAAGAAAGAAAATAACACACTATGCTTTACTGACCAGACTAGCAAAGGTTAAAAAGAAAGATAATACCCAGTGTTGGTAACGTCACAGACACTTGTTCACACTCTGCAAGAGACAGAAGAAACTGGAACAAGCTTTTAGGAGAGAAATTTGGTATTAAATGTCAACAGAATTTGGAAACTTAAGATTTTTTTCCCCCTAGAAATTTTACTTCAGGAACTTATCCTAGGGAAATCATCAAAGTTAGACTGTTTAAAGACAATTGATTTCAGCATTATTTATAACAGCTTACCAAAAAGGAGCATCAGCCAAATATCTAATTTCTATGAAATAAATGCTGACACATATACATGTTGGAATACTAGACAGCCATAACAAGGGGTTATTTTCCCCAAAAGATTTAATGACATGCAAAAATATTTTAAATACTTTTAAAGGGGGCATACAAGTATGCATATATGTTACCGTTATAGATATACATACACATATGATTGCAAAATTATGTGCACATTCATACATGTAAGATGTATGCCAAATTTTAACAATCATTATCTTTGAGTATAAGAAACAGGTGATTTTTTTTTTACTTTTTGAGTCAGAGTCTCACTAAAATGTGTATTTTAGTTTAGAGTCATGGGGTACAGATGAGGATT